TGTTATAAAGGTTTAATGAAGACTTAAAAATTTATGATTAAGCAATATTTTTGAAAAAAAATTCAAATAGATTAAAACGCAAAGGTATTATTATTGAATTTTTATAAAGCTGATACATTACTAGTTTTGGGAAGAAAAAATGAAGCAAAATAAGATTATTTTGAAGCATTACGAATAGGAAACCTCTCTTCTGATTAGGAATAAATTCTGTATTAATTAGCAAGGTTATGAGAATGATGGTCATCAATATATTATCTATTTGATTTAATTCTTCATATGATATAATAGATTGTATATGAAATCATCATTAATTATTATTAATCAAAAATAGTAGCATTAAAATTCATTGAAATTAATATAATTTAGATAAGTCTTATACTGGCATATAAAAACTTAATAAAATGAATTCTTTTTGGAAAAAAATTTAAATAAAATTACTTTCTTTATCTTAATTCTTTGATATCTTCTTCTATCATTTTTGAATAACATATTCTATTTTTGTGTTAGTAAATAGATATTTTGTAAATCAATCTCCAAACTCTATTTTATTCGTTAGTTTATTACAATTTAAATAAAATTTTATGATTTCAAGAAATTGTTTTTTATATAATTTAGAAGAGTAAAAAGGATAAATTTAACTTATTATTAAATCACTTTTAATCAAATCAAATATAATTAGATTTATGAATTAACTTCTCTTTTCAATAATAATGATTGATTTTTTAATTTAAAATCTATGACACATCAAAACAATATGATATTTTAATCATTATGATTTAATAAAAAAAATTAAACTATTTAAAAATGAAATTATTTATATATATTTCTTAATATTAGATTTATCATTTTTTAATTTCTTTAAATAATAATATCTAAATTTATTCAGTTTTATCATCCCATGTTACCATAAACTATCCATCTGCTGTTAATCTGCCAAAAGAATTTCCTGTTCCAAGATCAATAAATTAAATTAATTTAAATTCAGCTTATTAGTTTATCTTTATTAAATTGATATTAAATCCATTCTTACAGACTAAAATTTACTTTTATTTAATGTATTATGATTCAAAAAAACAATGACAACTACTCCCATTTTTAATTTAAAGTTTTTTGATTTGGTTAAATAATTTAGTTTAATGATTCAATTCATAGATATTCATTTTAGAAGCCAGATATGGCTAGACAATAAACAAGCTATCACTAATAAAACATACTCTTTACCTTATTAATTAATTTTTTATATAATAATCCATTCTTTATTTTCTTATTAATAACTTATCAATATTTCATTATCATCTTAAGCACAAGAAATTAAATAATTCTAAGATTCATTTAAACTTATACTCATTATATCACTATTATTGTGATTTAATGTTTATGAACATTACCATAAATTATCTTTTCTCCAAAACTTAATGCTTTTGTCTCTGCTTCCAGATATGATTAAATCATCATATTAATTAATCAATATACAACGAATCCAATTATTGTGTTCTGTTAATTTTTATTATGCATACCATTTATTATTTTCATAAATCTTCCAAATTATAACACTATTATCTAAACTACCAGATAAAAATGAATTTGACTAATTCATATAATTTAAACATCCTACAATGCCCTTATGTTCATTGAGTCTTTATAAAATTTTAATATTTCCTTAATTAAATTCAAATATTTTTATTATACCATCCATATATCCAGTAATCATAATACTAGAATCTTGATTAAAACATACTGAAAAACAATAATCGTTTTCTTTGATAGAGTTGATAACTTGATATTTAAATGATTATAATTCTGAATTTGTATTATTTGTAGTAATTTAGTCATTTTATTCTAGAGGATCTTAAAGAATTTCTTATGATAAAAAAAATTGGGAAAAGTATTTAATTAATATTTCTGTGTTTTGAGATGCCAATTAAATAAATGGTTGGCATTCACTATTAAATTTAATTAGCTAAGCAATGATATTATTCATTGATTGGGAATTTATCTGTTTTAATGTTTCGCCTGTGATTGAGAAATCTATTCCCATCATCTGATTTAAATAGTCAAATATCTCATTAATTTTTCCATTTAGAATATTCAGTTGATTAATAAATTCATTGCATTGCTTTGATTTTTCTGATAAAAAACTAATTAGATCAGGGATTTATTTCAAATTATTTATATGTTCAAAATGAATATTATTTTTTATGCATTAGACGCAGCCTAATCTAAATTAAGTGCAGAATTCATCAAGACAAGCAAATGAAATAAATTCAGAATGATTGGAAATAGAGCATTTCATTTAAAACTAATTAATTTTATTTTCACTTTGATATTGATTTTAGTATTCTTATATTTTTAATAAAAGATAATTCTAATTTATTGAATGGATATACATATTTTAAGAAATTATGTTATATAATAAACAAAAATCAAACTAACTATTAGTTTACATATGATTCTAAACATCAAATATTAAATTATCCTTTAAAATTTTTAAAAGCATAATTAATTTTTTCATTTTAGAGTGAATGATAACAGAATATAGATATATTATAGGTTTTTGTTTAAGGAGAAAAATCAAAAAAATAACTGAAATAATTTAAATATTTTCAAATTAGTTGAGAAGATAATTGAATTTTAAATTAAAAATTGATTAAAGAAGATGATTATACCGTATTAATAGGTAGCTTAACTACTTCAAATAAAAGCTTTATAAAATATAATTTTTATAAAATTAGAGGACTATTTTAAATTGAAACAGATGGATTAATTTATTTTAGATAAAATTCTTTATTTAATTTACAAAATCCAACATAATTAGGGATTCATTAATTATAAGGCTTTATTATAATCATTATATTGCTATTTATAAATAAATGTTTAGAATTAATATGAATATAATAAATCAATAAAGATCTTATATTAGAACAGACATCAAAAATAGTTGATAATAGTTTTACTCTAAATCAAAGATAGCAATAGGTAGAAAAGTTTTGATTTATTGATAAGCCCTAAATCATATGATTTAATTAGAAAAAAAAATTTAAGTTAGGTTTAATTGATTGATTAATTTCTAACTACTTTGCTCATTATGATAGATTTAGTTACAAAAGAGATATCAATGAATAGAGATTAAGGGTTTTGATTTTAGATGCTCTGTAGAAGAATAGTAAAACATCAATATAAATTAATTCAGCAATCAGAAAAGAAAACTTAGAACAAAAAAGGAGGAATTGAAACAATTCCTCCTTTTCATTTAACTTATTGTGAAATTTAATGTACTATTTTTAATTATTTAAACTTAAGATTTATATAATAGATTGTCATTTAGATCTTTTAATGATTTTTAATATTATTTGATAGAATTATTGGCTTTCTTGATAAACTAAAAAATTAATAAATATGTTTAAATAAAGAATAGGCAAAAATTCAATTACAAAATGAAGGTTTATAAATAATTCAATCACTGATGATTAATGTATTAACTACAAATAGTAAATCTATTTACATCTTTAGCAGTAACATAGCTTATGAAAACCTATAAAATTTTAATTAAATTAATTAGTTATTCATTAAGGATATATAAATTGAATTAAAGAAAAGAATTTAAGTCAAATATAATATCTTGAAAAATGTTTATTTTAAAAAAAATTTTTAATATCAAATATTTTCTTTTATATGTACTAATTTAATCCATATAGATAGATATAAGCTATGGGGATTAACCTAAATTTACTTTTCGATTGAAATGGTCAGGCTAAAAAATTAGGAGAAATGCATCGAAGCAGATTAGAGAAAAGAAAATAATATTCCGCTTTAAATATACTGCTAAAGTTCATATCCCTTAGGATATAGATTTCTTAATATTAATTTATATTAGCATTAATTCATTGTTGGATTAGCTTGAAAATTAATAAATTGGGTTTTTTTCTTTTAATTTATAAGTATTAAAATCATAAAATTTTCTCATTTACTTCAAAGTTTAAATCATGTTAAAAATTAATAATTTCCCTATTTGCTGTTTTAAATATAATTAGTATTTAGGCCATTCAAAAATCCCACATCTACTTTACAGTTGATAGATAAACTAAATCCATGTGTTGTAAATGATATTAATTACCTATTTTTATATTGATTTTTAAAAACAAATAATTAAAAATACAAATTCTAATAGAAAAATATATAATTTTAATTTTTAATAAATTAATTAATAAATATATCATTTCATTATTAATTCATAAATTTAATAAGATTTTGATATATCATAAAAAATACTTATTTCTTCCTTCATTAGTTACAATAGAAAAATTCAATAGACTATTTGATTAAAAAATGAAAGTTATTTATAATGCTTAATCTATGAAAAAATTCTAGAACTCTTATACTTGATTGAATTATTTGAGCAAACAAGATTTCAAGTAAATCAAACAAATAAATTGTATAAATCAGTTGATAAATCATATAAGAGTGTTATTAAAAGTTTATACGGTTAGCTTTAAACACTGTGATGAGTCTAACATCTTTTCAATGTTAGGATTACTATAATATCATTTTGAATGTTACATCGTACGTAAAAGAATTATCTATTGTATAAAAGGATTAAATGATTTTTTGAAACTTAAATCTACTTTAAAAATAACCTTTCGGATATTAAATTATTGACATTATGATCTAAGCTCTCTTCACATCCTTTTACAATATAACCTTATTTTCTTTCTTGGTTTAATATAACATGATTGAAGGACTAAACAGTTTAATCGAATAATTATTTATCCTAAAAGATAAATTTTTTTCTCTATCTTTTTGTCTGTTAGATTTCCTTTTTGAAAGTATTCTCATTTATCTCCTTTAAATACCTAATGTAAAATTTGAAAATTTAATACTATTAAATTGAGTTAAGTATGATACTTAAATATAAATTAATAATTTCCCTCTATGATTAATTTATTCGATTTAAATTTAGAGGTTTAAAAGATAAAATTGAAATTAGTTTTGAAATAAAAATTATGGATTATTAAATAAGATAGAAAGAAATTAAATTCCTCAATGAATATTGTAATAGTCAAGTAGAGATTCAATCAGACTATGCCAATTCATTAGAAATTAAAGTCATAATATAAATATATCAATAATCTTCTTTATAAAATTCTTTATAATTTCAAAATTAGTAGGGAGTTGTTAAAAAGTTTGAAAATGCTTATATTCTAGAATGAGGTTGTATTATAAGTATCTTTATATTTTTCTAATTTTTAAATAATTGCTAACTCATTATCATTACTATAAGGTTTAATTTGACTTTTGAATATACTTATAAATTTGAAATTCAAACCTTGATAATCAAATCTGTTATTTTCTGAGGTCAATCTACTTTTGTATATTTTTTTATTCTATTAATAAAAGTGTTTTAGCTCACTTTTTGCATATTATTGTCTTGTATTTCATGAATTAGTTTATAACAATCAATATAAGCAAAACAAATAAATTAATAAAATGAAATTTGTTAGTTTTGGATTTATTATCATTCCTCTAAATTTATTAATAATTAAAATGATTTCCAAAAAAGTATTGTAAATTGAATTATATAACATTAGAAAAATTTATATTGAAATTTTAATTTAAAAATAATTTCCTTGTTTGATTAGTTTAAACCAACAAGGGCTGGCTAAATAAAAATCAAGTAAGGCAATTAATTTTATATAGATACAAGAGCAAAGTAAAAGACTATATAAAATGGAAATGATGAATAGTAAAATATAACTTAAGAACATGAATTTACATATTGGGATTCTAGTTACTTAAAGTATAAGACTATTAAATTCTAAATTACATTTACTAAAGAAAAGAAAATCAAGCACACTAAAGATGGATAGATTCTTAGAACGTATTTTTATTCCCCATATTCAGTGATTAAGTACTTGATTCTTTCTAAAAACCTGAAATCTTTAATAATTTAGAATAGATTAATAATCTTAAGTGGTCTGGA